TTATGTTTGCCTCAGGAAAGCCATGCAGTGTCCATAGCTCAACGCATTTTTATGAAAGCCACTGTTTAACTGTCTATTTATATTATTAAGACGTTGATATGCACAGTTTGTTTTATGTGCAATATTTGTATACAACACTGTTTATATTAGGTGTTGACTCGTATATAAAAAATTAATAGCCATTGAATTGTTTTGGACTCTGTTGTTAATTTTAACCTTTAGTATTATAGTAATGTACCTACAGACGGGGTTCCCTGTATGGTTTACAGCTTTATTGACAATTAGTTGAGAGCTGCTTTCTGGATCGACATCGGAAACTAATCAAGAGCTTGTGAACTGGTATCTGAATTGAATCTAGAAATTAAAGAATGGGGAAGAAAATTGTTTGATATATTCTCTGGGCAGCTCCGGAGAAAAAGAGGACCCGTGGAAGAAGTGCGGTGAAGAAGGCAGAAACAGTCTCTGATGTGATCTTCAACATGGAGGCTAATAGTGGCAAGGACCTCCGCCATTTTAAATTCCTCTCCGTCTCTTTTATTGCTCAGCTTTTGGCCTCTGACAGATTTGTTGGGAAGGTAGGTTTAGAATAGGAAGCAATCGATTTAATGTTGATATTAAAATGCTCCTAGGATTTTTCAGTAAGCATCCTAAATGTGTAATTGTTTGACTGACAGGTGGCTGACTGTGAGAACTTAACAGAAAGCACCTTACAGACTCTTCAGCAGAAGTGAGTTGAAGCTTGACTATAGTACTTGACTTGATGGTGATTGGTTGTGGTGACATTGGCAAGGTGTAATGTTTGTGTTTACTTGTTAGTCTGCTGGAGGAGGTTCTGCGCTACATCCATGCAGTTGCTCGATGTGTAGAGGATAATGCAGACAAACCCACTGCTAAGTTCTGGAGAGCTCTGCTCAGCAAGTCCTATGACATCCTGGACAAGGTAGGAAGCACTGTATTGATCAGATATTATTGAGCATGTTTACATGCACACCAATACGCTGATGGCTACCAAAAATCATTTTATTGAAATAACCCGTTTACATGCAAATCAATAACCTGGCAAAGCAAGTAAACCATGTTTACAAGACTTTTGGCAGTCAAGAAAGAGTTTGCTCTAGTTGGGTGCTCCTAAATCTGCAGTATATATCACACATGACCACTTCATTAAGCCAACAGAATGCTGCATTTAATGGTCGTTTGTATCTTAACGGTGATGAAGGAAAATGGAAATAGATTAGAGGAAATAGAATAACATGATACTTTTCTATTCTGAACTGAACCACAGTCAGTTTTCTTGAACTGGTGACTTCATTGAGCAGTTATTTTTGTGTGTACACTTTAATTTGTGCACGAACATTCTTAAACCATGATCTGACTTTTAGGTTAATGCCCTGCTGCCCATGGATTCCTTCATTATGGTAATGAGAGGCCTGATGGGTAATCAGTTAGCTTCAGTAAGAAGGAAGGCCATGGAGTTACTCAATAACAAACTACAGCAACGGACGCAGTGGGTGGAAGAACAGGTTAGTATGCAATGCAAACCAGTTTTAATGAAGCATTTTTAGAAAATTTTACATTTTAGAACTTTGAAACATTGACTACCCATTCTACTGAGCATTAGCTGATCACTTTGATTCCTCTATTTCTCTGACAGATTACTGTGCTTCTGGATCTCATTGGCGTCCTCCTAAATATTGTGGGTCGGAGTCACAGACAGGTCACGGCACAGGAAGAAGAAGAGCTGGCTATCAATCGACAGACGGCCCTTTACAGCCTTAAACTTCTGTGCCGAAATTTTGGCTCAGGCCACCAGGAGCCGTTTGTACCAGTGCTGAAAAAAGCGGTGGAGCTGGTTGCTGATAAAGACGAGGAAAAGAATGTCATGGGAAGTGCTCTGCTGTGTGTGGCTGAAGTGACCAGCACACTGAAAGCCCTTGCTATACCACAGTTACACAGGTACTGTTAAGCCCAAAGTAAGGCCTTTGAAATTTACACATATGCTAGCATTTAGTGTACAGTGCACATGGCATAAATTTCATCATCAATATAGTACATGTGCAGCCTGAATTACGTGTGCAGCCAGAATTTTCTAATCAAACCCGTACTCTGTACTTTCAGTTCACACATTCCCTTTGAATTATTTTGTGCTGATTTGTTTGTACACTATCATATGCTATCAAACAGAGTGTACTTTGAAAGTCTATGTGTTCAGCTACATATGCTGAGCGTTCGTGTCAAAACTGAAGTTATTTTTGACTTTTCTTAGTTGGATAGTTGGAAGTACGATGTGTAAAGCTGAAGAAAAGTGTAAATCTAGGAATGGTTCTAATTTTTAAAACGTACTGGAAGTGAATGATCCTCATTACTTGTATATTAATGTGTTCTGTCTTCAGCCTTATGCCTGCAGTGCTGGACACTCTGAAGGAGAGAAAGGACCTGCTGAACAATGAAATATACTTGCTGAGCGCTGTCACAGCTCTACAGCGTGTTTCAGAGACGTTACCGCACTTCATCAGCCCCTACCTGGAGGACACCATCTCACAGGTCAGTATCAGTGCCACCTTGTTACTTTAAGTTAAACCTTAGAGCAGCATATGTTATTCAAATACATTTTATCTACAAGGTTACAATTCTCATTTGAATCTTCTCATTTTTCTCTGGTGCTCTAGGTCGCCCGCTTAACTCTGCTAGCCAAGCGACTGACATCCTGCCCTCAGCTGTCTGTACGTCTCTCCTCGCTCAGCACCACTCTTGCCACAAAGGTGCCTCCCAGGGTCCTCATTCCCACCATTACAAAATGCCACTGCACAATGGTGGATGTTCAGCAGGTAGGATTTGGTATATCAGAAATACCAAAGTGTTTGAATGGACACATGATCTTTTCGATGTCTCAATGCAATTAATGGACACTCTTTTGCTATTCTTTGTTTTATTTATCTGATACCCATATGTTCTATACCTGTTCAGAACCGTCTTGGTCCTCTGATGATCATCCTGAAGGAACATATAATTCACATGGAGAAGGACCAACTCAACAACCACCAATCAGAGCTCACTTCCTTCTTTCTGTCTGCTCTTGATTTCCGTGCCCAGCATTGCCAGGTACTATATACCCATTTCAATTAGTTCTTTTTTCTTTTTTTTAAATAAGCGCATTAACTGATGATTAACAAAATAACTTTGTTTAATAGGGAGATCTGAATAAGATTGGTGAGATCGAGGGGTATGTGATTGACTGCCTGTTAGTGATGGTTATGAAACTTTCAGAAGTCACTTTCAGACCTCTCTTCTTCAAGGTAAGCTTTAATATTGTTCAGGTGAGAAAAAAGAACTTCCTCCAATAAGACACTATCTTGTTTTTAGATGCATAAATAATAATAGTGATGGACTCTTTCGAACCACTGCTTTGTGAGGCATCAAAATCTTTGTGAATCTTTTTTTTTTTTTTTTTTCGAACCAAGTTTCTATAGTTTTTACAT